GTAAAATCTAGCCTTGGGTCTACGCGGCGAATTTCCACGTCACGTTCTGAGGAGCCCTGCGAGGGGCGAGACGCGATTCGTCAGTTTCGTGCCGGATTGGAATCCCACAAAGCAAGAGGTGAGCTCACAATACTTCTTCTTCTTCGTGTAATGGCTTACGAGATGCCTAACGCTCGGCCAATGATGAGTGACGGCCCAGTCATTAGGACGGCTTTTTTTTTCCACAGACTCCCGCGGCTAATTCCCAAGTTTCGTTCGACAATGGCATACCTCGCGCTCGGCTCTGATGTGAGATATTAGCCGCGTATTATGTTTCGAACTGTTACGAAGAGGAATGAAGATACTTGATATTCTCCGTTTTTTTTTGTTTTGCCTCGCTGTCAGCCATGGCAGGGAACATTGGTACGAGTTTATCTTGGAAAATATGGTAGATTGTATCCATTAAAATAACGTCTTCGGATGCGGATTCATTTAGAAATGGATTGAGCATGGCAAGTACCTCAGACCACTCTTATGTGTATTTCATCTGAAAGGTATTACGCGACCATGAGTATATTTCTCAAGGAAATGTATTCGTTTCATAAATATATCCGTTTTGATCAGTTTGAAAACAAATTCTCAACAAATATATTCATATTCCCCCGTCAACTTCAAGTTACTCGTTTTTCTATCACAAGTCATTTTCAATACGAGTCCTACGTAGGTTTACCGTTCGTCTTCTTGGTATCGTCTCTGCACATAGAGTTCATAAGACAGTGAAATATAAATTTTTGCAATCTTTATCAAATAAAGTTGTTACTCCTCGAAATTATTATTAATCTCACTAAGTAACTCAGATAACTTCAAAACTGTCAAAATGACATTGCTCGTTACTCATGAAATGGTTGAACATCTCAGAATGATATTCCATATTCGATTGAGGTTCACAGCTTTTTCCATTCTGCTGAAGTTGTCCGTGTGTTTGCAGATCTCTATTGTGAATTTCCCGTACCGGTCGGCTATGATATTTCCGGTTAGAGGCAATGAGTTTCTTGTTTTCAATCAGATTCCCGTGGTTTCCTTCACTTAGTGCGTGTTACCCAACAGCCGACTTGTCCGTTTGGCCTAGTCTGCAGTTTCTTCCAAGCTCCTTCAGTTTTGTGCACATGGATCTTTTGGTGGTCCTATGTATACCTTCACACAAATGCACGGTAGACGATATACTCCCTGCTGCCGATAGTGGGTCTCTTTTGCCTTTAGTCGACCTGAGGCTTTGTTGTATCTTGGTGGGTTTGAAAATTGTTTTAATGTTGTGTTTCCCCAAGAGTTTTCCAAATCTGTCTATGACTTTAGGTATATGGTAGATACGCAACGTGCAACTATCTGAGCATCCTCCCCGTTTTGAACCGTGGAACTCTTCAGTTCCATGGCCTTGTTGATCTCGGGTACACTATATCCATTGGATCTAAAAGTCACTTGAAGATGTTCCAGTTCTTCCTCTTCTGGTTCAGACATTCTTCGAGCCCTAAATTTTTATAATTTAAAAAAGGAACTTGCGGATGCTTTTGTTTGAAGGAGGTTGACAATGTTTCGTGGTGTATTTCATCAGTTCGGACTTCCATTGTCTAATATAATATAAATTGATTTGAAATCCCTGAAAAAAATAAAAGATTAACCGAAAATAACAATTTTATTAAAACAAAAAACTGAAATTACAAGGAAATAACATACAAACTACAACCAGAAGATAAAAAATTGAAATATTAATAAAAGCTGAAAATTAAAAAATATTAGGTGATAGGGTGATAACTGGACTTATTCCTCAGAGTTCTGACTATTTATAGGTCATTCGGGTGCTTTCACCTTTCACCTATCCCCTCTTTCCTCTTTCCGCTTCATTCGTTTAAGCGGGAGGTGACCGTTTGGCGGGAGTTGGTCATTTTTCGCTTGATAATGAGTTTCCCTATGTTACGTATCTCTACGTATCTCTACGGCTTCCTTGAATTTTCACCTAAACCAGTGTTTCTCTTTGTGGATGATTTCAGCTTGAGCCCACTTGATATTATGTTGATAAGTCCAAACATGCTCTGCTATTCCGGATTTGCTGGTTTCTCCTCGCTGTGTGTGTTTCTTGTGCTCAGCAATGCAAACTTTCAATTTTGCGGATGCTTGTTTTCGGGAACCGTATCGATGTTGAAGCATTCTTAATATTCAAGAAAACATTGATTCACGTTTTTTCTATGACTGTTGTTGCTAGTGGTGGAATTGTTAATTTCATCCATAGGAAAGATTTAGACCTGGCTGTTGGAGTTGTGATGACTCGTCTTTCACTACGATATATTTTACGCATGAATACTACATACTTTTTGCGTCTCATATATTCAAAAACACATATTTATCATCAACGCTTTCTAACAGTTACATAGTCCGTGCGATTTCTATGGACTGGAGGTATTTGAACTTCAAAGACTGTTTCGACTCTACTTATGATTCCACCCGTCATTCATTTTGAAAAACACCAAGAATCATTTTTTCGTGTCCATAATATTTAATATATATTGCTTTATTCTCACTATTTATTAACCGTGTCAGTCACGAAATAGAAGATATATGGCTCAACATTTTTCTTCCACCTATTAACTTCTGGGTCAAAATGTGGACGGGCATCAGGAACTCTCAATTATAACTGAAAAGAATGTCGCGGGCTATTTCGGTTCGACCGGTATTTTGAAAATAAGTTCGTTATCACACATGTCCCTCGAGAAATAGAAAAAAAACTCGTCTCATAGGATAAACATGTGCCTCTATAGCTTTGGAGTGCGTCCAAACGGACGAATTAAAATAATGTCTGTCGTGCGAAAACATAAAACGCATCATTAAATAAGTCTCTCGTGTGAGTGCCACAGAGTTTTACTGATTTAATGAAATTTATGGGCCGGTGGTATTAGCTCGCCATCAAAATAACTCCTCCGATTCTGGAGTATTGTACGAAGACATGATGGAGTCGGGCAGGTGCCGAAATTTATATCGCATCGGCGCCGTCTAAATAAACCAAACTTACTCACTGTTATATCTTTCACATGTGCTGCACCAACGAAAATACCCGCTCCGCCAGCTTGATAGACACCAACTTAAACAAACGTCACTTCGGGGATGACATTTGACAATCGCTCGCTTGCGGGTCATGGTAATCGGCCGCGGACAATGAATAGGCGATTCATCTGGAGTGACAACGCTAGCTATCTTTATCGTAATCATTAACATAAAGTTACATGTGTTCTCGAGGTAGACAATGGGAGATATAAATTTCAGCTAGGTCGGCAAGGAGAGATTCGGAACGATATTTATGAGTTAGTGAGCGCTGGCAGCTTTGTTTGTTAATCGTTTATTAATATTTAACTTTGCAAGTTATGTTACCAAATGCGACAAATTAAATGAGTGTACAATTATATTGAGAATTCCTGATGAAAGTCAATCCTTTTGACTGATGAAATATGAATGTGACTTTTTCACGAGATCTTCACGTCAGTGTTTTTAAAGTAACTGAGGAATGGATGCACATATTATTTAAGTGAGCTCCTAACCAATGACCCAGGATTAACCAATACTAGCAAGTTGTCGAATCTTACCGTGTGGAACATCACTTATCGTCAGTGACGCCTAAACCCCAATGCCGACGATTGTATTAAGTTGATTGAAACTCGCAACAAATGCAGATTAGGTATAAACAAAAGTAAAGAACTCGCTACCCAGAGAATTTGAAATAAAGCTATTTCCAATCCTTTATTTCTCCTGTATATCAATTATTGCTTGCAATGAAAACTACCTATTATTTATCCCTGTGCTAGGCACTTTCTTTATGTCCAAGAGAGAAGTTTTGGGTCAATAAAAACAGAGAAATGGTGAACTGTGGAATGATTTCATTTCTTTGAATTTTTGAGGAAAAGTTGGATTGAATATTTCAATCATCGGGCGGTATTTTGTTTTCTACTTCGATTGGTGTCAATTCAGAATTTTCCATATTTTTTGTGTTTTTTTTGCACCGAACTCGTGAGTAGTTTTTTGTTCAGGGGTTGATCATTTTCTGATGAATGTCACTCTATTTCACGCAGTATTCCAGAATAAACGCTTATCTCAAACTTTCATGGTTAAATCCTTTTTATTGTCTGTTTGAAAAACTATTGGGTGAACCCTCAAATTTTCAAGTCTATCCTATTTCCACGACACTGAGTATTAGGTTGTATTAGCCTTTTTTGAAATCTCATGATCATTACATTAAACTATTCTATTGGTTGGCTCGTAATATACATTCCATCTAGAGTTCTTTCGAATGCCCTTCGGATTCTGTAACGCCCCCGAAAATTCGTAACATTCCAAAAACAATTCACCATCGCTCTTCAATACACCAGCAATTACCCTGAGTTCCGCAAACACCTCTTGACTTGCTCCCTTTTAATTGTACTCCTCCCCGCTTCGCGGAGGGTCTTTCCGAACTTCTTTCGTTGACTGGAAACCGCGTGTGTTTGTGTATCTGGTAATGACTACAATTCGACGTTCGATAAACAACAACAGAGTTCGGGTCGTCTGAAATCGCAGGTCGCCCCTAATCTGATTTCTTCCCCTTTCAGTTTGCGTGTGACTCATTAAACCCCTCTCACTGTTCACCCTCACTTGTTCTGCATACACAAGTCGACGGCACTGCATTGAGAACCATTACGACACCCGCAAAATTGCGTACTGTAATTAGAGTTTTCAGTAGCGCCCAATTTTGCGAAAGGGGGTTGTTTTGCAACTAGTGTGAATATGGGTCTCTATATGACTGAGGCTTTACTCGATATGAATTTTCGTTGGGAAAGTAAAGTTCATTTCACTACACCAGATCTCGATAGTACTTGTAAACATTAGTATGCAAGTACAAATCTTGTGCAGTACTTTTTCTAGGTTCATACAATGTACTTCAAGAACTTCTTTGATCAAATTTAGTGAAGACAGCGATACATTGAGATTATGTTTTTTTGCAGGCGATGCAAGTAATGCGAGTATCGGTAGTGGAGAGGGTACAGGCGAAGAGGATGATGACACCAATGGAAAGAAAAATCAAAAAAAGAGAGGCATATTTCCTAAAGTAGCAACTAATATACTCAGAGCGTGGCTCTTTCAACATTTAACGGTAAGTGTAAATTAAGAAACTGAACGGTCGATTATTTGTTCTCTTCGAATAAATACGGCAATAACTATAAAATGTGCAATAATGAAATTCATAAACCCATTTCATGGACTAGTATACACAAGTGTTATAAAATTACGAAACTGCGATAACATAGATTGTAACTACTCATCAAGTTATTGTCAAAATGGGTAATTTGTTAGAATATCAATTCAATTTGAAATAAGGACTGTTATCTACTTATTAATTAAACCTACACACTGTTTTCCTTCATTTTATTATCCTCTGGAGAGGATAATAACCATAAAGATAACGCCTAGTTGGTTGGAATGTGAGAAAAACTACTCGTTTGGAAATTTTATAAAGTGATAGCCACTATCTGTATAACTGTGAGAATGTTCTTCAGAATTTATTTTTTCACTTTCATCAAATTTGATAAGTAATAGTATAAGTGTACGTCCAACATCTTCGATTGTAACATACCAATTCTCCAGTTATATTCATCAGTACACTGAAGGTTCCATCCAGATGCTTTGCTGTAAACGCTGCAGTGAAAGACAGAGGTCGGCATTCAGTTTGACGGTCGATGAAAAGCTTGCTTTTAAAAGTGACCGCTTTTGGGGGGTAAAGGCGCTTGTTTATCTTTGAATAAAAATAATGAATCACGTGACTGACTTCTTTGGGTATTGTTTTCATTCAAATCGAGGAAAATATTAATGTAGAGTAAAATGTATATGCAAAAATATCTGATGCAGACTGTATAAATGCCTATGTCTGTTTTGTATCAGCTCATCATGGTCAAAAAACTTTTTGATAATTTCAACAATTGCAAAGAATGCTTCAAAAAAGTCTCTCCATTCCACTGGACATCGTTCTGATCAAAAAAACATCCTCTTAGCCCATAGTATCACATCATCATTCCAGCCTCCGAAGTTTTTTGCTGATTAAAAGCAGCATCAGCCATTGTAACAACATTGTTTTCACTACTAGTTTTTGTAGGTCTCTTATTTGATATTTGAAGAAGAAATTTCGGAATCCCAATCACTGGTTTGGAGTATACTGCTGCTTTTCATCCTGTTGTTGGTTGTAAGCTAGTCCATTAGATATTTAACCTCTTCCTACAGTTAAATTTCTGAAATTCAGAGTTTGTGAGGCCCTGGTCTCTCTATCTTTGACCTCTTGGTAAATGTTACTTAGATTTGCTTATATTCTTCGATTTTTGGTCCATCATATTTTCAAATTCAAGGCCTATTGCATGCGTTCCCTGTATATTATCATGGATTCTTTATTGGATTTGCCTAACATACAAAAACATTATCTTCAAGTTAACCAATGAAATTTCCAAACCGTGACCAACCGCAACACTTTTTCGTGCAAAACGTAGCATTTCCCTAACATCATTACTATAAATATATAGCTGCTCGGTGGCACGATTCGGTGGAAATTATGTTCTACGCAGGCAACCCTCACGTACATTGAGCAATATAAGATACCCCTCAGGACCGTTTCATCTCTGCTGGTGGCGTTTAATGTTCCTGGCACTTTATCTGGTCTCCGCATGCATGCAAAAGCCTTTCTCCGCCCCGTATCTGATCCGTATTCAGTCCAGCTCTCTGTCCAGTTCGGCCGTATCGTCGGCGTGATATAAGGCGCTAGGAGTGACTCCCCTAGGAAATCCGAAGCGACTGCAGATCCCGTCCACCTGTCAGACGGAATTAAAGGATGGATGAAGCTGCGCCAGTAGATAACGCTGAGTCGTCGCCATCTCCCAGGAGAGGCCGTCTTGACCGCGCGACTTTCAATATTTAATGCGCGCCACTTTGGGACGTGGCCGACGCTAAAGACCGCCGGTCGGCGACGCATGAATATTTGAGCGATGCATCATTCCCGGTGCGAGTATCGCTCTCTGATCCTGGATTACTTGCACGACTCATTAAACCCTGTGCGCTAATCCCGCTATCGGATATTGCGAGGGAGCGGGAACCGAGGATCGATGCGAACCAAGTATGCGATTAGGCGGAGAGATTCTGGAAAATACCACGCGTACATGCCGTTGTAAAATGATTTCGAAGAAGATACATCAATCCCCTGACAGGTCCGAGAAACATGACATCCAGTTTGTTACATGTATTTATATCAAGGTGTCCTCTTTGAAACAAGTTTTCTCAAGTTGGTATGTTTGACCTGCATATTTTTATCGATTTGAAACTGATAACAAATTATGTGTTTTGTGTTTCTGAAAAATAATTCGAAATTCAAATTGAACTTCAATTGCTCTCAACTTTCTTAATCTGAAACTACATATTGTAAATAGTTACATTTATATCGAAGATCGGTTATCAGGATGGATAATGAACACATTAATGTACCAAAGCTCCCAAAATTACCACTAATACCATTGATGGAAGAGTTTAAATATTGCAGTTTTTCGTGTGAACGTTGCATTGATAACTCTGGCGAAACTATGGAAAATTTTCAACGTAGCTTATATTTTTTGCGTCATATTTCAATACACTTACTAGTGGATATTTTTTTCGAAAATATTTGAATGTAGTTTTTTATTTTCCATCATTCGAATTATCAATTTCATTGACACGTTTGAAATCCATTTCATCTTTCCGTCCACTTCATTCCGGTCGGGATCCTTCAGCATTTCCCATCTGCTTCCCCACCAGGACACATGTCGACGTCAAATTCCCGCGGATAAAGTAGGATAACTTCTCCGGAAATATAGCCTCAGATGCATCCACGGCGGAAATGGAATCCCGTATCCGGAAAGACTAGTTTTTTACGTTTCGCTGTAAACGTATGGGAATAACCGTTAAAGCCAAACGTACAAATAACTTTACAGCTACCCCGACGAATTTTCGACAGACATGCGACTGCTGTGTCGAGCTTTCGTATTTGGAAATATAAAAAGGGTGAATCAGTTAGATTTATTGGTTTGGAAGGACACCCCGGTGGGGTGGAGATTTTCCAAGGATGAATGATCGCGTACTGCAAATTCTCCAGCTTTTCCGAAACTGGTTGAGGTTTTAGTACGAGACATGCTCATTTCTTCCTCAACTTCAACTGAGGATGCTGACTTGGTTAGCGAAGCACACGTCGAGAGACTTTTCCATGATAAACTCCTAAGCTAATTGAGTGATCAGTAATAGTAATGATATAGAACTCTCAATGTCTCTCTATCACAATGAACTACGGCAACATTCACTTCTGCTAGGGAGCTCTTTCTCCTAGCTGCTTCACTGTACAAAGTAAATGAACACTACTTCAGTTTTTTTCTCCATATCTACTCATATTCAAGCCGACAACGACATTCACTCACATGACCACTTGATACCTCTTGACCACCACAGCAGTTGTAAAATAAATATGTAATATCGAGATATTGACAGCCAGGTCTTGTAATTATTCAACTGTTGTGCAAGATCATTACGTAGGTCATGGTCAATATGCTCAGCGACCCATCTCTTTTAGGCCATCCGTACAAGTTTCGTTAATAAATTCAAAACACGGAACGAGTGAACGATAATCAAATTATATTATAAATCCCGTTTTGGAGCTTCCCAATTGAATAAGAATAGCAGCAAATGCACATCCTCTCCCTATTGTCGACTGTCTACCATACCTATTGGATGACTTTTATGAGCAATTCCAGCCACAGGTCGCTAAAGTCGGCGAATAGTCGTTTTCCATAACATTAACCATTCTTCAATGATGCTGTGGGGAAGTTTTCCTGGAGAACGTTGATCATCAAATAAAATTATTCAATGAGAGCACTCGCTCTTGTTTCTTGCCAGTACATCGCTTTCCGATGACTACAGATGCATCTCCTGACCAGTTCGGCGCAGTTATCCATGTAGGGACCTCGCAAGAAATATCATTAATAACTGTTAGTGTGTCGCAGCAATGTCTGGCGATGCGCTGGCTCCCCCCGGAGAGCCTCCTGCATCCGCCATTAGCCGCCGACCGGAATCTGTGGCGGTAATTCCGTGAAAAACAGCGAGCGCGGACCATTCATTCCCCATCACACCTCCGAAGAGCTCCTGCGAGACCGATAACCCCATCTTGAGTGTCTCTCAGGGGCGGCATAACCCTTATGCGGATAGCAGGGCCGCCTCTGTTTGCTCTGCCGCCTCCGATGCATAGTGATTTTTACGATAATACTGGGATTCCTGGCACACACACATTATTTGCGTATCTACATTGAAAATGTGAAACGGGTAGAAAATTGAAGAGGGCGAAGGTCTTGATCACACACTTGGACTGATTTTAATGCTCCCCGGGGTGCACATATCACCTACGAGGGATTTACGTTCGCAATCCTAGCTGCGGATAACCGTAAATAAGAAGGCTGATTCATCCTCGCCTTGTAGTTGAAGGATAAAACCTATCAAGAGCAAAGAATCAGTCATTCTCAATGGCTGGCTAGTCAGTTGATACTGTAAATTTCAATGTAGTTTTGAAACCTCATTTTGATCCCAAAAAAATACTCTTCGTACGGAACATGCTTTACAGTAGTTACTGTTGTCAAAAACCTGTTATCAAAAACCAACTGAATACTCTCTGCAATGACAGCCTACAAGATTTCTGTGAAAAATTCTTTAGGTAACTTTGGAACTCGCGTATACTCTTCTGAGAATTTCCATTTGCCATTTTATATAATGTCACTTCAGAGTACTATTGAAGTGTCATCGCAATGATATCTGATTTGGACAGATAGTTTACTTAGTTTTTTGTCTTGAACATGGATTAGGTTGTCGTAATGTGATTCCTACTATAGCATATAAAGTGAGCTAGAGACCTCCTCAGGTGACATTTTTTCCCAGGAAAGAATCACTCTAAAAACTTTGTTATTATCAATGTGTAATCAGTCGAGGAGGAGGAGAAGGCATTCAAACAGAGGGCACTTCTCCACACACTAAGAGAAATTATTGTTTTCATCAATTCTTGCGAATTCTTCACTTGCTATTTTCCAACCACCCCCACACTCACCCCCTCATTACAGTTCTCATCGTGTCATCACCCCCGTTGCAGTTGTAGAGATCATTACGAGCGCTTTTGAGTACCGTGAGAGTTTCCCGTCCCAACCTCTTTTCGGGCACCTTTTCCCGTCCGAAACCCGTCCATTAGGTGGACGATGACATTCGCACGTCGCCGTACCACCCTGACACTGGCGAACAAGCATAATCACGTGTCACTTTAGAGCGGTAACGCCTCTAGAGTAAATTACGGTGAGCGACTTGCAACGCGCCCCCTTTCGGGCAAAAATGCTGACTCTTCGAGCGGCGCGCTTTTCCTAATTGACGTCGATAATAATAATGATGATGTTTACTTGCACGACGTTCGACTGATGATGATAATGGTGTTTTGTTGCAGCATCCGTACCCCTCGGAGGACCAGAAAAAGCAGCTAGCGCAAGATACGGGACTCACGATACTGCAAGTGAATAATTGGTGAGTACGCTTTGTATTATTTTTAATAGGGTGGGAGTAGGTAGGACCAGTCGGAAAATATTGATGTTTACACCTTTTCACCAAGGAATTGGACTTTAATTAGTAACGTAGCTCTAAAAATACTGTTACAAAGGATTCTGATCATTTTGCAAATTAGATCATCTGTTACAAAAAATATAGTATCAACTCATCAAATGACTTTGAGCTCATCTGATTTTTAGTTGAGGAAATATTACAGAAATCAACAAGAATGATTATTTTTTCGGGACCTTTACTGATCTTTGCTGTTCCTCAATTGTCAGAGCAATGGAAAATTTTGAATCATGAATTAATTTGAACTATCAAAGCCAGAAAAGTTAACGACTTCATCGCTTTCCTACCAAGCTGTCTATTTTCCTTTGAGGAGTTTGTTGATAACATTCCAATTGTATGGCATAAGTTTGTTATTCGTGTCATCTTGGCTTAAACAAGTTGGAGTCTGGCTCCCTTACCCTTTCGACTGGTGTTCGTCAGAGAGATAAAAGGGTCAAGACTGATTTTTAGGATGGCGGCATGAATGTCCTCAGACATCAGTACCGCCCTTTACCTGGCTGGGGTATTTGGATGAAGATATTGTTCATCTTTCAACGGAGGACATGAGGGGCCGCCTACAGCATAAGCCATAGCTTCTCTAACTAACGAGACATGAGTGTCCACCATTTAGTTTGCGGCAATCAATGGAACCATCAAAAGTCTATGCTAACACTCATATTCATTTAGGAATCCAACAATGACTCAATTTGAATAATTTCTTCGAAGTTGTTACTCGAATAGAAAAAATATTGAAACACTCACATTTATAAAATATCTTGTTAGTTCTATTACAGAACTTGAATGTATGGTTCAAAAAATGAATCATAATGTATCACATTCTTGTACAGGTTGCGCTCTTTTACAACTCCATCGGTTCGATGAACAGACTAGTCAATTCACCGAACAGAAAGAGTGATCGCGTAGACTTGGCGTGTACACAAAGCCAACTTCCAGATTCCTACAAAACAATCAAAACTGAATGGTCGAGTACCAAAATCCATCAACTGGGCCTGTGAAAAATGATGTGCAGATCACTCTCTTTTACAACTACAGCTGTTCGGTGAACAGACCATAATGCCATCAACGAACTCGAGTGTGTTTCAGTTTGAACCGTCTTAGAATCCCGCAACACGAGTTGAAGGAGTCGAGTCATTACGAAAACGTTGCTTGCCGGCTCATTGGTTAGCTTTCTCCATCAAGATGATGGATTTTTGGCGACGCTCTTGCTATTCGGAAACCGGCGGCAAATGACCCGTGATCTTCACGAAGTTTGTGCAAATGCTGCCGTATGGGGATGCCGGGGTTGAGAGTTGGGAATTATTACAATGCTGATTTATGTCTGTACTCGTGACCTCATAGGGGTAGTTCGGAGATTTCGCTGGTGGAGGACTGTTATATCGGGCAATTTGCAGGAGTCGACAACAATGGTGGTTGAAAATGCTGAAAAACTCACATAGTCAATTCGTGCTTCACAAATAGGATAGAATAACTTAGAAATTAACTTAACTGTTTAAAGTTTGTCGAATTATTTGGAGTGCCTCTGTTCATGAGTCTCATTCCACATTTCTCGATTTTTAGACTTTCAAAAGCATCTTAAAAGTATGATATCACGTAATGGTTTCTCATTTATTCTAGAGCCATTCTCCAGACCCTTCGGTCATTATAAATGTACCAATTTCTCAGTAAACCTCAAGAATTATTCAGTATAGATATGTGAAGGAAGCTTTTTCGTGGACTAATTTCATATTCATGAAATGGTTGAGACACTCAAAATTCATTGTAATTTCATTGAGATGACGTTTTGAATGAATCAAAGTTAGATTGTTTTCTACAATTCTTGAATCATATCACGTGTTAAACTGGGAAAAACAAAAACAACACGTTTCCTTCACGTGTTCAATTTACGTGCATTCGTCGGGAAAACTACATTTTCCGAATATAATTGTGCACCCCACGTCCGTTTTTCCGTCGACACCGCCCACTGGAAATAATCCTAATTTTAGTTTGTTTTACTCCCGGCGAATAATTTATCGTACGATATACAGGATATTAATTTAAGCGGGGCAGATTTGCAGCGTGTGGAATTCACTGCTTAATTGCTAGTCGCTAATATTTTAAATAATTGCCAGTCATAATTTCTCGCAAGCCTGTAGTAATGAATGTTACTGGGACACAATCGCGAAGCGAAAAGGAATTGTAATGCATCGGATCGTCTATGAAAAACGTACGTCTCTTACATAACATATCATTTCTAAATCGATGTATTTTTTGACACACACCCGCAAATGTTTACAAAAACCTTGTCGTGACATGTTACATGGAAGATGATCAAGAAGAAACATTTTTTTCCATAATAGTTTCACGCTGGTTCGATTTTGTTCCTTGAAAAACTCGTTCTGAACATAAAAATCCTGGATCAACTTGATTCAGTCCAAGATATTTAAGTCTAGAAATCATCAAGATCAATAAATATTGTGCAATGATATCAGATTTATAATAATCTACAAGATCACATCGGATAAAGTCATAAGCCATCCCCACTTTTTTTATGTAATTCTGAAAAACGAGATTGCTACTCAGAATTGAAACGGTACGCCATTTTTGTATGGCAATCCTTCTGGCAGAGATATTGAAAGAACAGAATTTTTCAAGGAGATGTGCAAAATACAAAATTGGGTGGAAGATTGGGTGGAAATGTTCTTCCTCGAAATAAAAATTGAAATAATAATGAATAAAAATGATTTCTTCGGTATGTGTTGTGTTGATTTTTCAAACTTTCGGATAATAGCTGAAAGTTTGTCATTTCCAAACTCAAATTACAATCGAAATGTTACTTCAGTTAAGCATTAGTAGAAAAAAACTCTTTTCTATCAAACCATCCGTTATTAGCACATTTTTTCAAGTTCCAACTATGAACGTAGCAACGTTCCCCTTCATTAATTTCGCTCTCTGAAACAAACTCCTAAGTAAATATAGATAGAAACGCCCAGTCACTTTCCCGATCAAAAGACGCCTTATTACAAGACATTTTCTGTTCCGCAACCGAACGATTGCCAGCTATATCGAATTCCGAATCGAAAAGCCTTGGCAATCTTTTCTAATTGTCGTGACATGGAAAAGGCGCGCCTACAGAGCCACCTGATCCATTAAGTGATCAGATCCGACAACCGAAGAAAAATGCCCGAACGAAACTTGAAATTGATTTACTTTCATGAAGGGTCGGTATTCTGACCAACGAAGGGTCGGTGATGGAAGAACTGCGCGAGATACATGTCGTTTTTTAGGTCAAAACTCCGATTTATTATAAATTGGTCCTTCGAGCCGGACGTCAAATTTCGTGTCACTTCGACGCCGCGAATTCCACTCACTCTAGAAATCCCGTCTAGGAAACCTGACACCGTCCCTCTCGCTCCATCGGAATGTTCCCACAGGTCGAGCCTCATCCGAAAGGTGCCATTAATTACGTGGCCGAAATGGCCGTAAGACAGGCGAACAATGACGTGGCCGATGTCGTCCTCTCTGATACAAATCGCACGTTTAAGATGCCGACTTCGATGTGCCAGAAATTCTATGCGTTCGCTTTTTTTCTTTAATTTCCATCGGATTTTTTTCGCCCGTCCCGAACATCACAATGGCTCAAGATAACACGGTATTGTGTCCAGTTGGGATTGAAAGAATGTAACTCTATGAACGCCGACGGGTTGGAATGTTTTCAACGATAAATGTCAAGAGCGAAAAACCAAACGAGCGGAGAAGATGCACTCGTTATTGTCATTGATAGAAGTCGATGTTGCGATTTTGGATCCGGCTCGAAGGACCAATTACAGGATAATTACGAATCCTTTCGATTTATCGAATGAACCGGCATTTCCATAATTTCGAACGTCTTCCCTACTAATATACAGGGTTTCGTGATAATGGAAATCACTCCGCTTTTTGCCCAAACAAAAGAAACACATCGGCATCCACCCCCGGCGTATCGATAGCTACTCCATCCACGGCTAACTGCGTTTCGCGGTGTACGTTTTTGTTAGGCGTAATGTCGTCAAGACCTTACCCTTTGTTAACCCGAATAAAGCAGATAGCTTTTCGAAAACACTCCGGAGGAGCGTCGTTCAATTCAAATTGCATCGGGGGCGGGTGGTAATGGTTTTGCCGGCATAATGGATGGAATTGCATTAAAATGTGATCTGCATAGCTCGCTTACAACTCCGGCCTCGCAAATGTAATTACCGAATCTTTCCGTTGCGTCCGGAAGAAACTGCGCGAAGAACCGATGTCGGCTAATGGATCAGGTGGGTGAGGGCGGATTTTTTCACGATGCGACAATTAGACCTGTGGGGAGGGTATAAGTTGGAGCGATTTTGAATTTATAAAAATGTACTTTGGAAGATTCTAACGGATTGTGAGATTGCTCAACCTCTATATAGGTTTCTAAGTGAGAAGTTACGGCTCCCCGTATTACTATTTTTAGGTAAAGTGTTTTGAGACCCATTAATGGACCCCCCTGTATACAAATTCAATACTTCTTGACTTCTAATTATATCGAGCCAAAGGATAATTCCCAAACAACCGTTTTTTTAAGTTGATGCGAGTATTTCTTGGCACAACTGTCGGGGCGGTGCTCCATAAACCTAACGTCCAGTAGTTTCCCAGTCAGACCCACTTCTGTCGCGCGATTTTGAGTATCGTTTTCGACGGGCATACGAGCTGCCACGCGAGCCTATCGCAGCGATGTGAGAAGAAGCTTTTCCGGGATGGGACCGGATTGATTAATCGCCGTAATTACCGATCAGCTTCCCGCGCTAATTAGATTCCGTCCCCCGGCAGCGCGCAAATGAGATTACGGCTGGAAATGGCGTTCGCCACATAGCTTGCGTGGGGCGCAAGCGTTTATTGTCATCGATTTTTGTAATGCCATTATGTCG